ACCTGATGATCTTCCATCTCGCTCTGACCGGTGGGCTTTTCCTCGGTCCTCTCATTAACGCATACCTGGTACAGGACGAGAATTGGCGTTGGATGTGTTACTTCCTCGCTATAGCAGTTGGAGCTGTCTTCGTGGTCGCCATTTTCACGGTTCGCGAAACAACCTATCTCAGGCGACATGCCACTTCCCAGAAGACGAAATACTGGGATTGGCTTTCCGTCACACGGGGATACAATCCGGATGCATCGTTCCTCCAAACTGTATGGGACATTCTCCGTAATGCGATGTACCCTCAACTCCTATGGTCGTCCTTCACCATCGGAATTTCAGTAGGATGGTAAGCTCCCTCCCTTATGCTCTCTTCCACAAGCCCAAGCTAATGAGTACAGGAACATCGTCGTCCAACTCACCGCATCCCGCACCTTCACAGCCCCGCCCTACAACTGGCCCGCAGGCAGTATCGGCCTCCTCTCTCTCTCCGGCTTCATCGGCGCCCTGCTAGCCTTTTACCTCGGTGGACGTCTCATCGACATCCTCTCCACATATTATACCCGACGACGCGGAGGCCAACGACTCCCGGAGTACCGACTCCCCGCCATCATCATCCCCGGCACGATCGGACCCGCGGGGATCCTCATCTTCGGACTGTGCGTGGCGAATCAGACACACTGGGCTGGGGCGGCGGTGGGATACGCCATGCAGGCGTTTGGAGTGGCAGCTATTTCTAATGTGGCGGTCACGTATTCGTTGGACTGTTATAAGCCGGTGAGTTTTACCCCCTTGCATGGTGGCGTTGGATAGTGCGTGGTTGGCGGGAGAACATGACCATGACCATGAACATAAACATGCTAACGATTTTGGCGTTTCTCTGCTTCAGATCACGGGTGAAGCACTGGTGATTATTTTTGTGATTCGGAATACGATCGGAATGTTGTTGTCGCTGTATGCGGCGGATTGGATCGCAAAACAGGGCGCCGCGAAAGTGTTTGGAGAAATGACAGCCATTCAGGGGGCGAGTATATTGCTGGCGGTGCCGTTGTTTCTTTGGGGCGCTGGCCTACGCGAGGTGACGGGGCGGTATGGGCCCATGAAACGGTTTGTGGTAGTGTCTTAGATTGATTTCTCGGTAGTTGATACTATGAATAATGATCTTGTCCTTCGCTTAGTCGATACTAAATAGTGATTAGACTACGGCATTTGAAAATAAGATGATGACGCAGAAGTCACTCCGCCGAGTGTCCACTCCGTATCTCTGGTCTGGGCAGATAGGGTAGACCGGATATCGCCGCGGAAATGTCATCCAGAAGAGACACTTGTAGGGTTCGGTTTAGTGGAGGTTATCTAGTTGGGGAACTATCTGTTCCGGACCAGATTTCCATTTCCGTGCTTTCAAAGTCTATTATATTAGGTACGAGTAGTCTCTCCACAGGGGGGGGGGACCACTTTTTCCCATTATCAAATAAATATGAAGCTATCGCCCATGTAAGTTCAATGTCCCTCCATCTTTGATCCTACAGATTCACACCCGCACTATTTGAAATCAATTCTTCAGGAACAGCAGGGGAAGGGTGATAATCAATCCATGTGCGCGCCAGAAGGGATCACTCAGGGATAAGTTGTTAAAGTTTTTGCACAACCGAGGAACCGAATATGATCCACTTCACTGCTTGGTTGGTGCGGAACTAGTGTTTAGTGCGCGTGGCACTTTTGCCTCGCTAATCATCATGATGATTCGAGGAAGACAACTTTGTAATTTCAATTAATATATTTATCTAAAATCCTCTAGCCAAATAAAATCGTGGGCTATACTGAGTTGTTGGCTAGTTCGGGGCACTTGTCTCGTATTCGACGGGGCAGATGGCAATAAAACACTCCTCGGCATTGGCTCGGTTGCCGAGATGATGGGTGCCAGGCCCATGGGTCTGGGTCTGTTAAGTTGCTTCCTTGTCATAATGACTGGTGTCAAACAATAATAATAATAATAATAATAATGTGTTCTGTTATAGATGTTATGTGTCTTTGGAAGAGGTGGCGAGGGAGTAGTACAGCTAGGGGCAAACCAACCCCTATCTATCATGGACGATCACTCTGGTTACGCGCCTCGGTTATCTGGTTGACTCCACCCCGAGGGAACATGCTACTGCCAGTCTAGCAAGTAGTGCCATGGTGAACCTGGCCCTGCAAGTGTTTACCTGTGTGTATGGAGTATCCACGAGGAAGTGGATAGAATGAAGCACGATGCCCAGCGTGTACCTGGAGGGCCTGAGCGTCATGAAATCCCGATCGCGCACAATCACGCAGTCACTCAATCACTCCAAATGGAAATAATGGAAACTCTGATCAATCCAGCTAACTATACTTGTTTAAGGCGTTGCTCCGCGCCATTCTGATCATCCGCCATTCCCGTACAGGCATCATGATTGCTTCTTTTCAATGGTGGATGTGGACACTAAACAGCACTGGAATCATCATTCCCTGCATCGAAGCCATTCCTTCAATGATGATCAAATCTTGTTTCCTGCTCTAGACAACTTCTTCCCCTCCTCTCCTCCACCTTTTTGGCCCTCTCCGTCCGGATTGCGCGACTGCCAGACTCCAAAAGTCAAATCGAATCCAGACACCCGCCAGCCGCCCTGCTCAAGACTTTAAGGTTTCCGTCCGTCGTTCGGGGATAATGCACCTTCAAACCGCGTCCCAGATTTGAGGTCAGCTCAGTTCAGCTCCCTAATGCAATGCCACCCTACATATAGTAATCAGTATCTCCACCAGGATAAGTCCGTGCTATTCTGAGTCCAGCTGTTGGGGTTATTTGAGCCGCTCCCCTCGCCGTCCTGGCCCCGGAGTGATCTGGGCTGTTGCTTTCGCTGCTGCTGCTGCTGCTGCTGCTGCTGCTGCTGCTGCTATTGTTACTGCTATTGCTGCGCTACCATGAGTAGCTCTGCTTTTCAATATGGCGAATAGCACCATCATCCCGGCCATGGAGCCGCCTCCTGGCCAGGTTTCCAACTTTATCGATCCGCCCTACTGCGGTGCCAAGTTCGTCGTGGTGAATTGTGTGTTTCTTCCCATGGCGCTGATAGCGCTGATAGTACGCACATGGACGCGTGTGGTTGTTGTGCGCAGTGTATCCTGGGATGACTGTAAGTACGACAGAGGGGTGCGCAGGGCGATGTTTGCAAACAATAAAGCTAACTGAACACTAGACTTGATGATCTTCGCAGCGGTATGGATGATCTGAATTTTGGCCCAGTGTATTAGATACACGTAGCTGACCCCATAGCAGATCTTCTCGACGGTTATGACTGGACTCACACTGAAGAGTAAGTGATCCATCGATAGCCATGAACGATGTCGGGCTCCGCTGACCAACAGTGCTCGATTTTGGCTTGGGCAAGCATATGTGGGACGTGCCCTTGGATCATCTGACCCCTTGGTTTCTAAAGGTATTCTTCCTTGTTTGTCTGTTGACTGGTCCTGATGAAGCTTACCCCTAACTATAGTTCAACGTTGTCGCGGCCATCATCTACTGCGCCGGGACAGGGTTCACTAAAGTCTCCGTTTGCGTATTCTACCTGCGCATCTTCCCCAGTCATGGCTTTCGACTAGCCGTGTGGTCGATCGTTTTCATCGCGGTGGGCTACAATGTGGCCAGTGTGCTGGCCAACGTGTTTAGCTGTACGCCGATCGCGGCAGCGTGGGACTTGACCTTGCCGGCGAACTGCATGAACAGGCCAGTGTTTTATTTTGCCAATGCGGGACTGGGCATTTTCACGGATTTTGCGACGGTGTTGGTGCCAATGTACGTCATCTCATTATGGGGTTGATGATCTAGCTGCTGACGAGGTATAGTCCGTGGTTGCGGCGATTGCAGATGCCGGCGCGACAAAAGGTCGCTGTCGGGTCTATGCTGGCGATGGGCTGCTCGTAAGTCTCAATTGGGAGATTACTCTAGTTGGAATTGGGATCTGACAATGACAGGGTCGGCATCGTGAGTTGCATCCGACTGGCAAGTCTATACATTCTAATGAATAGCACCGACCTAACCTGTACGTCGCTCATCCACCCACCCTATCAACGCAGCTAACAGATCAGGGGCCACTACCAACGCCCTCTTATGGTGCACCATTGAATTAAACTTGGGTATCACCTTTGGCTGCATGACAGCCATGCGCCCATTTGTGCGACGATACTTCCCCAGGCTGCTTGGCCTGTCGTCCTACGCATACGGCCAATCAGGATCACGCAAGTATGGCCATCCATTAAATTCGATTCCGCGCGACCAGCCCGACTTCAATAACAACAGTCGGCAATACTCGACGCGATTGCAAGGGGGCACCGACAATGCAAGCGAGGAGCACATCCTGCCGGCCAAAGCGTGTGAAGGGGAAGAAGACGGGATCCTCCGCACAGTGGAGTTCAACGTGGTCGACACCAGACATGCTGGAGCATAATTTCTTTCTAGTTTCCTTTGTATACACGAGTTATAGACATAATGCGACCGTTAAACATCCATAATGTGAACAGGAAACCCTCTCATCCGATCTGGCCTGGTCTGGAATGATTGTCGGGAGCATCGGTGGAAAAGTTCTCCTAGTGTTGCGGACTAAAGCCTCACTAACCCTCACTAAACTACCACTAATGTCTCCACTACCCTCTCAACTAGTCTGCTCTCGGGAGTTTGCCCGAGACGAATTTCTCAGATTCCAGTCAGGAACCGCTGATTCCAGTTCCTCCCGGGAGCCGGCCAGCCATCCCCTCCCTCTCCCCATTCTGCACGGCATGTTCTTCTAATAATCCTTCCTTCCTCGGCTATCCGGCTCCCGTTGCCAAGGGCTTCTAGTCTGCTGTCCGGTGCATCTCCACCACCACCACTACCGCCAGGCACGTCAGCTACCAGCCTAGCTAGCTCTCCACACCGGCTGGGCCGCAGTTAAAGCTCCCTCTTCCCCTTCCTTTTGGTTTCCTTCTCTCCGCAGTGCCATTGTCAAGTAGCATACACCATGCGCATCGCCTCCCTTCTCCCTTTGACGGCGGCGGCCACTACGGCTGCCGCCACTGCCACCTCGGCTGGCTGTAAGACCCTCAACAAGTCTCTGTCCAGCGCAGTGTTTGCGCCTAGCTCCACTGTTTACCAGTATGAGGCGCAGAACTTCTGGTCCAACACCGAGATCATGTCGCCTGGATGCGTGTTCCGGCCCCAGTCGGCTGAGGAATTGAGCCAGGGTGTCAAGGCGCTGGTAGACGCTGAGGCGCAGTTTGCTGTGCGTGGTGGTGGACATATGGGAATCAGGGTATGTCACCATACATTCGGATCTAAAATATGTGCAGTGCTGATAGAATTACAGGGATCGAACAACATCGACAAGGGTGTCCTCATCGTCATGTCCAACCTGACGACCCTTGAACTGTCCGATGATCAGTCCGTTGTCTCGGTTGGCCCGGCCTACAGGTACCTATTTCCTCCGCTTTCAACAAACCATATTGAAAATAACCTAATGACAACAGATGGGCCGATGTCTACGACTACCTTGAAACATACGACCTCGCCGTAGCCGGAGGCCGTCTCGGCCCCGTCGGTGTCCCCGGCCTGCTGCTCGCCGGCGGCATTAACTTCTACGGCAACCAGGTCGGATTCGGCTGTGACACCGTCATCAACTACGAGGTCGTGCTTGCGAACGGTACTATCGTCCAGGCTAACGCCACCAGCCACAGCGATCTCTTCTGGGCGCTGAAGGGTGGAAGCAGCAATTTTGGTCTGGTGACTCGCTTCGACATGGAGACTATCCCGTCGACTCAGGTCTGGGCTGGAACTTACACTGTTTCGGCAGAGTATATTGATCGCTTTTTGGAGGTATACTCTCTCCCCATCATTTCAACTCTTATTGATACAGTGGAGAGAATACATGCTAACATGGTTTACAGGCATCCGCCACCTACGCGGCCAACATCTCCGACCCCAAGACACACATCGTCCCCGCCGTCGTGCCGGAGGGCAACACGAGCGTCGGCTCGGTGATTCTCTTCTACGACAGCGCCACGGAGAGCTACCCGGAGATCTTCAAGCCGTTCACCGACATTCCGGCTGTGAGCAGCACCCTGGGTTTCAAGACCTTGGCGGAGTTTGCGGCTGAGACGGGTGCGATGGTTACACCGCATATTAAGTACGCGCCACATCCGCCTCCACACTTTATTCCAACTACCTTATTAGCTACATGTATACTAATCAACATTGCAGTGACATCTTCGTCGCTGGTACTATCAAGGCAACCACCTACGATGACCTCTACCGCGGTATCAGCATCATCAACAGCACCTTCGCTGCCCAGCTGCCCTCTCTGTACGCGCAGATCCCCACCGCTAATATCTCCATCATCGAGCTCGATTGGCAGCCTATTGGTGCCTCATGGCTCGAGGCCTCCGAGTCCCGTGGTGGAAATGCTCTTGGTCTGGATAAGGACCAGGTGTATCTCTGCTACGCTGAGGTCGTTGAGTGGATTGGCTCTGAGTATGATGAGATTGTTGGCGACTGGGTGGTCGAGACTACCTACAAGATCAACAATGCCACGCAGGAGGCGGGTCTGTATGACAGCTTCAACTACATGGGTGATGCGGCATGGTTCCAGGATATCTTCGATGGATATGGACAGGAGAACCTGGCCAAATTGCAGACGATTGCCCAGAAGTATGATCCTCACAGTGTGTGGCAGGTGTTGATGCCGGGTGGTTACAAGATTTTCTAGATGTGTTGGTAAATAGATAGAGACATAGTACATATCAGCTTATAGCACTATTTCTAGATACTATAATAATCCATCTTCATATTCATACCCATACCCAACTATCCCAACCACAAACAGAACCCCTCCCCATCCAAAAAAAGTAATAATACCATCCCAACAACCCCAAACCCAAACCCAGGAAGAAATCTAAGAAGAAGAAACCCCCGCAGCCTGGACCAAAAACTGCGCAGCCTCCTTAGCATCACTGCCATAAGTCAAATGCGCCATGACATTGACACCATTCTCGCAAACGGGATCCCCACTAGCACAGAACTCCTTGACCTTACTGCTCGACAACTTACCCACGCCCTCCATCTTCAACGGATCACCGAACAACACCGCACCAGACAACTGGTCCGCGCTGAGCTGGTTCGCGGCATAATGCACCACCATCGAACCCTGCGAGTAGCCGCCCAAGACGACCTTGGTGTTGGGGCACTGCTGCAGCGCTTCCTTCACGTACGAGGCCATGGTAGGGCCGCCCGAGGAGCCGAGGGAGACGTTGCCCTGTACCATTATCATTGACATTAATATCCTCTTCTTCTACATATTATTCATGAAAAGTGAAGGGAAGGAAAAGGGAATGCTCACCTCCCAATCAGCAGGATAATTCACACCCTGCACGGTGACCTGATTCCCAGTCAGGGAGGCCAATTCGCTCGCGACCTCCGGACCGACGACGGTTCCCATGTTGCCGATCTCGGTGGTGCCGCGGGCGAAAATGAAGGTGAGTTTCTTGCAGCTGCCGCTGTGTTGGGTCACGCCGTTCTCGGTGGATGAGCCTTTTATTTTCATTAGCTTACTGTAAGTACTCATTACTTTTGGGGACGGGGAAATCATACCGCTCCCACTGCTGGAGAACATGCTCAGCAGGCTGCTCAGGCCATCACTGCTGCTGTCGCTAGTACCGCTGGTACTGCCCGTAGTGCTGGAAGTGGATGACGACGGGAACAGCGAAGCCAGAGCGCTGAGGCCGCTGGATCCGGTGGTCGTTTCTGATCCAGTGCCGGTACTTCCAGTCGAGCCGGAGGAAGAGCTGGCTGCCGAGCCGGAGGTCAGGGCGGAGAGGCCGGAGGTCAGGGAGGAGAGGTCGAATTGACGGGCCTGGAGGGTGGAGGTGGGGGCGCCTAGGGCTGTGGCGAGGAGGGAGAGGGTGATGAAGGATTTCATTTTGGTTTTGTTTATGTATATAGATGATTTGGGGGTGTATGTGTAACGAGTGTATGGAGCGCTGCTCAACGAGTGACTGACTGAGTGGATGAGGATGGGAGGGAGGATGGGATGAGATGGGCGGTGCACTGCACTTGCTGGATAGGAGAATTTTGGACTTCAAGCTGGTTTATATACATGGCAGTGGTGTTGTCTGCGACATGAGTTATTTACCAAAGATTGATCATTTTTGGGTCCGTTAGGGAATGCCGAATTGAACTGGATCGACTGATCACCCCCGTGTGGAGTCTGTCGGTTTCACCATACCAGGGCTGTTTCTTCCGGGTTCATGGGTATCTGTTCTACTCCGTAGTCTAATCTAGTCTAGTATAGAGTATAACAAAGTCTTTTAAGGTTAAACTAGGGACAAAGAACAGGAACAGGAATCAGGAGTCACATCTGAAACCCCACTAATTCTAGTCTTTCCAGAATTTCTCCCAGAAAACCCCGAGTTTGCATCACATGGTTGGCTGAGCAGTAGTGAGTCAGTCTCATCCTGCGACAAATCCTGTGGTATCATATGCAGGAACCGTTATGTGTCGACCATCCTTGGTGGTAGTTAGGCTGGTGAGGCTAGGCATCAGTCAAGCACAGGGCAAACCAGGGTCTGTCGCCGATAGATTGATTTGCTGGGGTGGTAATCAATCTGCGTCCGGGCGGGCGCCGCGCGGGTTTTATTTTAGTCTAGTGCGGGTTCGCGGATGGCTTTTAGGGCTGCCCATTTTTGAGTCTTTTCTTGGCTTTCGGGATTACGGGGTTGGCCTATGTCGGGATAGGTGTTCTGTTTCTCTTGAAAGTGATTCTCTGTTTAACGATGGAATTGAGAGGGTAGAAGTAATAAAGATGAGAAGATAGATTCAATGATAATGTTAGTTATGATGTTCCTCCTGCTGCTATGCGGTTCGAAAATTGTCTGGAAGTACGGTAATGGATAAACTTCGGCCTCGGTCAACTGAACCCTTCCCTTCCCTTCTGAAACAAAGGAACCCGATCATCAGACCAAGGCACACTAACTTACTTCCTACATTGCCTCGGTTCACGAGGCTAGCCGGCTGAGTCGGATGAATGCCCACGGATCATTATTGGCGGGTGTGCTGGTTGAATACCGGCTGTGGAATGTTTACCCGTCAGTGTCGGGCACAAGATACTGTCAGGGTTAGAGTGTAGCGGGGCCAGGTGATCCGTCACATATACTAGTCCAGAAGGTCCTTGTAGTCTAGATCCTGAGAGATGAAATGATTGTTTCGTATGGCTGATTCAATCGGGTGGTGTAGGTAGGCTGTGATTTATCGTGGACGTGTCAGGGTGCGGGTAGACTTTGGTGACAGTGTATATGGGATGGGGCTGGAAGTATATTGTCAAACAAATCATTAGGTAGACTGATTGGAGGACCTGGAGGAATGGTCATTTGTTTTGATGGAGCTGTTGATGGTCTTCTATCTACGGCGAGGTCTAGTACGTGGTTTCACGACGATGAGGCTAAAACATTCATTCACCTCATGTAATAAAAAGGACTTTTGTATGCTAAAATTCAAAGTACTCTATGATTAAGCGCGACAGGTATATGGGGTTTGCAGACAGTCTATGGGCACACTGATAGTCTTGAGGAATGAAAAAAAACCCGAAATATAAAGGATGGAATGATCGGCATGCGTATTAGGGGGAACCAAGGATTATCAGAAGTAGGGTCACCAGAGGAGCGATATGGAAAGAGAGAGAGAAAAGAGAAGAGAGGAAAGAGAAGAGAGGAAAGAGAAGAGAGGAAACAAAATGGCAAACTCACTCTACCAAACGGCATCCACCCAGAGGTACATCCTGCTCACCAAGTAGTGCGTTCTGCGACCGGGCCGTGAATCTAACAATGGCCTGTCTCTCCGAGTATCTGACTTCCCACGTAATCTGCACTTTCACGCTGTACTCATCACCTACGCGCATCAGGCAAGAGAGGTTCAACCCCTGCAGGTGGAAACTGAGTGGTGGCATCCGTTCGGATTCTGTTGTTTCATTTGCGATATTAGCGAGACGCGCGCAGACCAAATACGATGTTCAGAGACGGGCAAAACGAAAGCCCAAAATACTCACCACCATTATTAGCATCAGAGAACTCGGCTATATGTCGAAGGAGATTTATGATGGTTATGGGCGCATTTCCAGCACGATAATGAATGTCGAAAAAAAGCTCATTTTGGTGCTGACTTTCAACTGCGTGGTCCTGGAGAATCATTCACGGAGGTGTCAGTCTGGGTTGAGATCACCTTGCTCGGGCGAGATGAAGCACGTCGATACAGACCTTGCGAATTATCCAGTGCGGGGAGGATTGCTCTAGGTTGATGCTCCCGTCACGGATGATAGCCCCCTCCGCAGCTTGCAGACCGTAGCTTGCGTCAAAATACAGGCGGGGGATCGCCCTGCCGAGGATCCCTCGATAAGTCGCTCCCCAGGACACTGATTGAGCCCTATATAACAGTTAGCTCACAGTCTGGCATCAATGGGTGTATTCAAACTTGCTCGTAAGTGTCCAATCGATGTAGGGTAACCGTATGCTGCAATCTCTGTCGTATCTGCTCGACCAAGTACGGTACCCGACTCCCACCACCCGTGAGGAAGACAGCCTAGTGAAAAGACCGTCAGCTTGTACTGATTGATAGTTGGTAGGTGCAGGAAAGCATACCGGGACTGGTGGCTCTAGTGGGCGCGGTGGAACGATGTTGGCCATTATCAGGTCGATAGTATTGACCACCGTGGAGTTCAGGGAATTCTTCAGCACATCTGGGGGAACGGTGATTACGCCAGTCTCATCAATCTGGATGGGATCCTCCTCAGTGCCATGGGATCAGCACTTGAGGTCACAAATTCTGTCCAGGAGGGCCTCGTTCAGCGGCCTAACGAGCCCAAAGATGTGCGGGGGCAGCTCCTTCATGTGTTGACGGATCGCAGCATTGGATGCTGCGACACCGAGATTAACCCCTGAAAAGGGTTAGCTATTGCCCTGAAATGCCAAACTGGCTTCAAAGACGATACATACCTGACGGTCTTCCCAGTGGTTCGTACACGGTATTTGACCCGGTCCCCTGAATATGAAAAGCACCGACATCCTTCCGGCAATCGAGTCAGTTTGTAGCCGACGAAAATAGCCAATGACATCCCCGTAGGGGCTCGGGCACTTACGGTGGTTCCTCCACCGATGTCGCATACTAGAATACGGTCATCTTCCTGCTTCACGAGTCAACACTAGTTAGCTGATCGGCCATGTGGAGGGGAAAGAAACTAGGGTGGTGGGGTTTGGGAGGCTTTTCACTGACCGCTTGAGATTCCTTCTGATGTGTGAAATATAGAGCAGCAGCTTCTGCTTCGGTAAGGAAAAAAAAGATTGTCAGCTTCTTTGGACCCGAAGCGTGCGTCTCGCACTGCTTTAGCAAAAACTTTCTGGTTGTCGGCAGACCAGCTAGCTGGCTGGCTAAACCAAAAATCGGTCCCGAGTTCGGCCGAATGACGTGGAGAGACAATCAAATTCTGTATCTCTGTATGAGTTGACGAAGATAGTCGGAAACAAGCTGCTCGGATGAAACACCGTCTGGCAATGCTGGATTCGGGGTCTCGCGCAGGATGGGGTGCTCCTGGTCGTAGAGGAATAATTTGAGCCACTTGAAGACCGGATCCTTTCCGGTTCGTGCATCTTGGCCCCATGTTACACTCCTGTCTTGAAGGTATGCCAGCATGGTTGGAAAAATATGCTTGTGTTCGATGACCAAGGACCTGATGATGTCGGGCGTGCTAGATCGCCTTTGGTTCCAGAAAGCGTACGACACACCTATATTCGATGTGTGATTCGTTAAAAGAGGGATATTCATCATGTGTGATTTTGAAGAGGGTCTTACAGGTTTTCTCCGTTCCAAAATCAACCCCAACAATCAGTTTTTTTTTCGACTGAAGGTGATTTCATGGCCAAGGTGATCGAGTTTGAAAGAGTCTTCAACTATGGTGGGATGCAGACAGGACAATTGAAGGGAATTCCATGGTATGACGTGAATAGAGATGAATGCTGAATGGGAGATATATAGGATCAATGAAGGCTAATCGTAAAATCTTGGACAGGACCTTGCAATACGGTCAATGAAAGGAGAGAGGAAGGTTAGGGAGGAGCAATAAAGAGAGACGGGATCCGGGCCGGGCAGCTGCAATGGTTCACAAATCATAAGCAGCCATTGAACCCTAAATTTAGCAGGATACGAGTAAAGGATGAAGAGCGGATGACTGCAGGGCCACCTTTCAGCCTCCCAGAACAAAGCGGCCTGTCTTCCCGTTATTTACCAGAGCCTATCCCTTCAGTGTGTCTCCCCACGATTCTCCCTCACTTGACCTCAAACACTTCTCCCTTCCCAGATTCATTTCGTGTCCACATTTCATCCATCGTTAACAAGCATACTATGGTGTGTACTAGAGCTCACACAAGAGTCATGGAACAAACGCAAGCGCAGCCTTCGTCCTCCAACCTTAAAAGCTCCCCTGAGCAAAGCTCTCCACCTGGTCCAGTCGAATGTCTCACGAACGCAGACGAGGCCCCAAATCCTGCGGCCTCTCTGTCAGAGGAGGAGGACAATGTTTCAGAAACGGAGCATTTAGCAGTCCTCTCAAGGAAGGAAGAATACGCCCATGGGGTCGAAGAATACCAACGTTTCTTCAACGCGGGTGGTGGGACATGGATGATTGACTTCCAAGAGATTGGGGAACGTTTTTACAAATTGGCCATGCGTGTTGTTGGATGGATGGGTAATTGGGTGATGGCGGATGCTGGGACAATATCAAGAAAAGAAATGAACATTGTCATTGCTGCCCTAAAGGGGTATTGTGTCCAGGAAGACTGGACAGTTCTCCAAGGATTGCTACCACCTCGTCGGAGTCTTGCAGACCACTTCGCTGAGGCCCTGATCCATAAGGCGATCATGGAAAATGTTTTCTCAAACTCGTTTCAGTATCTTGATGGGAAAACAAGTTCTACGGATCAAGCCGAAGACAAGCGCTTTGCCTCGAAGCTTCAGTACCTCTACGAACGGTTCTTCGATAGTGAGTTGTCCCTTAACACAGAACTTGGTAGATGGGACTGACTGATATGTGTTCAGCCAACCCAAACCTCGCAACGCTATGGAAAGAGCAAACCCATCGACTGGCCAACTCGACAAATTCTATCGAAGCACCAGGCGACCTGAGCTTTGGGCGGGACAATGCCAAGCGTCTTCTAGCCTGCGCGCCATCCCTGGCTGATGAGATGCTGGCCAGTGAGCCAATCGGTCTACTCCTGAAAAAGCGCCTGGGCCGGAATCAGGTGGCTAAGCGGAGAAAAGAGCTTATTGAGATCTTTGAAGCTTCGCTAGGTCTCATGAAGCTTTGTGAAACGGGGGTGGGGGGTCACTTCAAGATGAAGCGATTGTCGGAGCTAGGACCGTTGTACCAATGCGGTAGTTCCTACATGATCTTTAACCTCTGCAATGGTGATATTGTAGATGAGAGGGACTTTGAGGGTCGTAAAATACTTCTGGTCGTACGGCCAACTATCATGTACACTGATAGTGCGCCTAGCGAGCTAGATTCCCCCTACAAGTCCATGGCCGCTATTGTTTCTAAGGCTAGTGTTGTGCTGGACAAAGGGGATGAGGCCAAGGAAAGTACCACAGCCGAAAGAAGGATCATCATGCGAGCTACACGTTTTGAGGAGGGGGAGGTCTGTGTCAAAACGTCGGAGATGTTCTGATTATTGGTGACGAATCGGCTTTTTCCTTTTTCTTTCCAGTTTTCCTGTCTTTCTCTTCATGCTTGGATGAGAAGGAATAAAGTCCAGCCATTCCTTCGCTGATCCATTGAACCAATGATTCGTATTATTATGCAACCCGGTCCGTTTGCCAGGTCCACTGTGGCTATAATCACTTCACTCTGAAATCATCCAAATCGTCGGGTTTATGCAGATTACTGCCTAACACATGAGAGAGACGAATCTTGACTCTGTGGATGATTTCTGGATGAATGGGCCTGGCCTTGGAACAAGCTGTGCTTCATCCCTGTACGTTACCGTAGGAGGAATAGCTAGGTGGATTGATTGAAGGACCTACAGGGAGGGTCGACTGTCTTAATGAGTTGCTTGATGGTCTACCATCTATAGTAAGATTCAGTGCATGTACCTACGATGATGAGGCTAAAACATTTTTATTCTTTAGGGAACAAAAAGGGCTTTGGTTACCCAATTCAGATTATGTGCCTGACTGACTGTAAGAGACATACAAAGTAGGAAAGTAGTCTATGGGCACGCCAGCAGTCTTAACGACAAAATAATCTTAAGTGTGAACTCAAGGAGTGAAGATCTAGAGAAAGTAAAGTATCATTAAAAGAAATACTGGCAGTCTGGAGTAATGAAATTAACCCGAAATATAAATTTGTAGAAGTAAAGGGCAAGAAGAAAAGAAAAGAATTTGCAGAAGTAACACGAAACAATCATGAACATTAAAGTAGCCCGGAATATGACCCAAGAGAGTGAAGGTCAAAAATAAAGAAGATAACAAAAAAAGAGCATAGAAAGATAAGAATAAGCCAGAAGATACAAAAAGAAAAAGATCATACTACTTTGAATCCAGACAGGAGTACCTTTTTCTCAGCCAGTTCGACATCTCATTTCACCATAAATGTGATAGTTGCTCCCTCATCAGTATAATCAATAATCCATTACACATCTACACCAACGCGACGTTCACTACCAATTATGATATCATGCTCAGAATTCTCCCCGGTAAATCTGAAAGGAATGACCCAATTTTCTTCAGCCTCTAGGATTGATTAGGAAAGTGAGTGAGCGAGACAAATGCACATAGATCCGATTCTTAGATGTGGAGGAATACTCACTATTATCATCCATTTCCGTCCAAACACTGATATAAGACGCCCTCATCTCGTTCAGGTTGAGGTACCCAAATAAGCTACAATTACCGGTGTGAGATATCTGAATTATTTCGCCCTAGAGATGCAGTTGTCAGATCGTGGGCCTAAGCTGGACTGGGGAAAGAAGAGATGGAAGGGGAAAGGAAAATAGGGGAAAGGAGACAAGTGATAACACAAACATTACAGATGATCCATTCTGAAGATCCCCTTTCCATCCTCGTTATCTGCTGCCTCCAACCGTGCTGCTCTATTTCCGCTCGATGCGAAAGTGCTATCCCGACACCGAAAGTAGCTTCCAGACGCACGGCTACTTTTCCACGAAGACCCCGAAGGACAGCCCCGCGGGCCACTATTGTGGAGCTAAATAATGGTCATTTTAGATACCTAGGAAGACAGAAGAGGAACTAAACATACTAGTTCTCTACATCCTTGAGGGCCATCAGCTGTGTTGTGTCCGGTATACCTTGCTTAATTTATTTCCATAGATAAGGCATGCGACTGGGACCCCCGACTAGCAAAACATACTGTTTGAGAGATCTGTCAGCGCAAAGTATGAAAGGCTTGGACAAGAGGAAACTAACGGAAATAAGCTTTTGAATTCTGTTTAATGCATCCAGGTACTGATAAATAGGACAGATTATACCGTCGATTATTCCTTGGAGGCATGCTTTGAACTCCGCCTGAGAGATGACGATGCCGCTTTCCTCGTCAAGAACGACCGGGATGTTCCCATTGCCTTCAAAGTCATACTTTACAAGGCTAATGTACTCCAACTGAGCCTTTATAAACAGTTTTAACACTCCCAACTTACAAGCAAGTTGGTTTTCTAAGCATTTAGCAATCACAGCATCCATAGCTGCACCCCCTGAGTCAGCACCTGTAAACTGTCAGCAGATCCCAAGGCATGTTGGATTAGCCAAGGATACATACCTGAAGAGCTTTTAAGTGACACATAGAGAGGATTCACGCCCGTGCCCCGGATCTCGAATACGTCAACATCCTTCTAAACTATCAGTCATCCGAGGCGAACCGCTTGTGACTAGATAGAGCGCTTGCTATTGTTCCCCCACCGACATCACAAATCAAAATACAGCCATCTTCCGGCTTTGGGAAAATTGGTCAGTTAGGGTAAGATTGGAAAAGGGTTGTAGACTTTATTCTGGCCTGGATTAAACTAGAGACCGTGTACGAACCGTTTTGTAGCCCTGGCAATCTGCAAAGTACAAAGTGACCGCTTCGGCCTCGTCCACGAAAAACACTTTATCAGGAGTATTTGCCCCAAAACCTGCATCCCTAACAGCTTGGGCCATTTTCTGTTAGCTTTCATCTGTCCAGCATGCCGGCCGCGCGAAATAGAATTCGGCTGGTGGTTTAGGAGACTTTTCCCATTTGTCATTAATCCATTCCTGGATGGCCTGGTAAAGTGGCTTGAGAAAATCTGAAAGCGCTTTCTCGGGTGTTATCCGGTTAGGTAGGGTTGGGATGTTGGTCCGCTTGAGCTCTTGTAGAATGGGATGATTGGGGCTGTAAAGGTGAAGTTTGAGCCAAGGATAAACGGTATACCCGCTGGCCCCGGTCTTTGGACCCCAGACAACGTTCCGATTCCAGTCGTTCTCATACCCAATAGTGGTAGGGAAAGCAGTTGTTTGGTCGATGGTGAATGAACTGATCAGAGGCCTCAACATTCGTTGGGGATTCGATTCGGTGTGCATTATCCCTACACCCGACCGCGAGACGTTAACTGGGGCAGAGAGTCACAGAAGGTAGTATGATAAAGATCTTACGGGTCTCAGTGGTGCCGATATCAATGCCAAAAATTAGCTTTTTCTCAGCTGCAGCAGCAGACATCTTCACACAAGGATGGGTGGGGAGCTTTGGTAAGGAAGGGGGGAGGGGGGGGGGGGAAGGAGTAAAACAATGGGTCACAGTATGATTGGAGTTTTGGAACTGGGGTAAGGGATGGGGTAACAGACAAGAGTCCAAAGAGAGAGAAAGACAAGAAAGACTTGACTTGTACTGAGGCGGGAAGGTATAAGGGTAGGGAGGGGAAAGAAATAAAGAGACAGACAGACGGCAGATTCCCCTGCTTTGTTCTCGCTGCCTCGAATTGCAATCAGCCATGGAACCCTAAGCCCGGTCGGAATACGAGGAGCGGACGAGGAACGGATGACTGCAGGGCAACACTCCGGGATATTTTGGCCTTTCAGCTTTTCCGAACAAAAGAAAAAGCTGTCATTACGGGAAAAAAAAAAGGGACTTTCTGGCCTCGACTCTCCTTACCACCCTATCACTTTCTGACTTTCTGACAACTTACCCCTCGCTTAACGTTTTGTCTTTCCCTTATCTAATTTCTGGTATCTATCTAGGCTCTCACTCTCATAAGTTGTACTATGGTGTGCACAAGGGCCCAATACAGGGCTCGGCAACAAGCACAGGAGAATTTCTCATCTTCCAACTTTGACGGCCTCTCCCAAGAGATCTCGTCTCCGAAAGCTCCTAGGACCCTTGAAAACGCTGAAATGCCTAGAAATATCGAAACCCCGGGGGACACTAAGGCGCCCGAAACTACCAAGATGCCCCCAATTACTGATGTGCCTGACGAACTTGGAACTCCCGCGAACACAGAGGCCTGCGAAGAACTCGAGATGCCGGAGGACACTGAGATAACCATCCCCAGCACTGCGAGACAGGAGCTGGACGACCAATTACACCCTCTCTACTCGTATGACTTTCTAACCAGGGATCAATACCAGGCTAGAGTCAGATCCGCAGAGCGTCTTTTGAATACTGGAAGTGAGGGCTGGGATATGGAGCCGCCACAAATCCGACAAAGATATCAGAGGTTGAGGATCCGACTTACTTCTTGGATCCTCTACTTTGTGAACAACGACATCGGGAGTTTACCAAGCGCAAAAACAAACCTCATCATCGCCAGTCTGGAGGGGTATTGTGTCAAGAAGGATTGGACCATCCTGCAAGAACAATTGCCAGCTACCGTTCACAAGCGCCTTGGAACTCTCTTCGCTGAGGCCCTCATCAACAAGTTCATCATGGAGAAGATCTTTTCGAACCCATTTTGGTACCTTGACGGGAAGATGGATCTCGCAGACCAAGGAGAAGACAAATGTTTCGCAACAAAACTGCATTGTCTCTATCAGCGGTTCTTCAAGAGTGAGTGAGTCCTACTTTGACCCCAGTCCTGATCACTGAAAGCTGACTGACAGACGTCTAGCTAACCCAACGTTTGCAACCCTTTGGAAACAACAAACGCATCGACTGGCTAATTCAACAACGAATGAGCACACAAATGGCGACCTAAGCTTTGGACAAGAAAATGCCAACCGTCTCACGGCTCGCGCACCCTTTCTGGTTGATGAGGTTCTGGCTAGTGAGCCACTCAGCCTGTTACTCAGGGGGCCCTTGAAGAAGAATGAGGCCCTCGAGCGGCGAAATCATCTCATTGGTGTTTTCAAACAAGCCAGCACTGTGATGCTTACCTGTGAAGCATATTTGGGTGGTCATTTTGCGATTCAACTTCTGCCAGAACTTGGACCGTTGTATGACTGTGAGAGCGACTACATGACCTTCCTCGGCTATGATCCGGAAAGTAGTAGCGACAAGTCCACAATGAATGGCCGTGAAATAATACTTGTAGTACGGCAGGGCATTGTCTATTCACATATGGTGCCTAACGTAGCTTCTGACTACGATTCTATAAGCACCATTGTTGAGAAGGCTACAGTAGTGCTGGCAGAACAGACCAGCGGAAGCGAAAAGGCGGAATCCCTAGAAGGGGATCCAGGCATCGAAGCTGCCGACAATGATGAAGGAAGGGTAAACCCGGAAGCCTTGAAGCAGACGCATTTGGGGGATACAGCTTCTGGACGGGGTCACGTTTTGGTAATTAAGGCATGGGAATGACTGATCTCTTCTACCTCTATTTTGTTCTTTCAATCTGTACTTTCAATCTGTGCCTCTCTCTTCTCTTCCTCTCTATTATTATTGTTATTATCGTCGTTATTATTATCATTAGATTTCCATCACTATATCCCCCCCCCAACAAAAACTCTCATTTCTCCCGCCCTCGGTAATAGTTAGCTTCAGATACTAAATGCAAACTTTCTTGCGGCTGTACGGCTCGTTACACTAAGCACCTTTCAAGTTATCCCTCCGACAAACGAGCAGCGAGGTGAGTTGACCCATCATTTTGATTCCGCCCAAATGTCTCATTTGAACGGTGCGCAGGAACACCGGTCCGGTATCTCCAATCTCCCCACCCTCGTACGGCCTGATCGCTACTTACCATTCATTAAGCATTGTGCAACAAATGACGTGGGCTCGTCGGAGAATAAAGAGATCAAACGGGGAGGAGCAATGCCTAGCATTTCCTCGTAGATACATCGAACAGATCATTCATATCGTTATGCAACTTGCTCCGTTTGCCAGGATTCGGTGTGGCTGCAATCCACTGTGGTCTGGGAACATTCAATTGTCAGGGTTACGTGGATTGCTGCCCAACTCATGAGGGAGACGAATCTTGGCCCTGGTGACCATTTCTCAATGGATAGTTCTGGCCTTTGAACAAGCTCTGCTTCATCCCTGTACGTTACTGAAAGCTCCCGTTCCTTTCCGCACGGCTTACGCCATATTGCCTCTTGCCTTGAATACGAGCGCCTTAAAACTGCCACCACTTCTGCGATATGATCTGGCTTAGCCTCTCAGGGCACGTAAGAGTCGATGAACCTCGTATCTCTCACACTGTAGCCTGAATGGTGGCGCAAACCTTTGGTTTGATGCCGGTACTACCTTGTGAATGGCACTTGGGTGCTGCTTCTCGCGGTCGGAAGGCCAATGGGAAATGGTTGCTGACTAGGTCCGACTTCCGCGACTGAGAGTCCCGGTGCTAGGTGAAATTACTCCGTGGAGAAGGCTTTTTGACGATAAGCTGCTGGTCCAGACTTTCCCGAGACGCGTAACGCCATGCTGACGTCCACTGTTAACAGGTCGATCATCCGGCCCCTTTCCGTTTCCGCGGCTTCGGCGTTTGCTTCTTCGGACTGCTTGATCTTTCGGCTTGTGGCATCAAGAATCAACCCATGCAGGTTACTCCCATCACAAACGAGACCGTCGCCCGGTCGTATTGACATGATGTGTATCGTTGTTCATTTCCTGATGACACTAGGGTTACATTGTGGGTTGTGGGATGTTACCCCTATCGTGAGAACAGTGTTCGGATATTGATAGTAAACTTTCCAGCGTGCCGTCATCACTGCAAGTGTGTTTCAGAGTCTGAAAGCTTTCTGATTCGAGCCCTGTAGCAATCATGAGAAGAGAAAAAGCCAAATCTGTAGCAAAGGCTGATGATGCTACTCTACCTCGTCGGAGATGAGCCAGTTTTCGGTGCCTCACATGACACGACGAAATGCCCTGACGTTGTGCAACCTTAGCAATATCGTCGATCTTTGCACAGAGACGAAGTGAAGGCCAGACTCTTGGGCCGGAAGTCCAGCTTGATTATGGATATCCCACATGCCGATATAGATGTTTACACTTTGAACACAACATGCGAGAAGGTAGTTGTCAGTAACTCACTATAAGCACAGGTACACAATCCCATCACGTGGTTGAGTGCAGATCGGCTAGACCGTAAAAGTAGCTCCGTTGACTGTATTTCGCTCATTCATTACTCCGCCAGTCACGTATCATCATACTTTTCAGGTCAACCCATCTATTACAGTCTGATTACCGAACTGGCTACCAAGTTCATCCTTCACAAGTCGGCGAAATGCGCATATCTGTGAATGATTATACATCATTCAACTTTTGTCTCTACGTAGCAGGTATTCCCAGAGTTTTGCAAAATTTGCCATGTATGACTTAGGGATGGTGAAGTATTATGATCGGGAAATACGAGAAAATACCAAGTATCTTTGGTTATTTTGGTTGCCTTTAACCTGCTATAAATGGTCTTGCCAGTCACGTGCCGTTGAGTAGTTTCATCTGCCCCTTCGTGAGTGTATAATTACCAATACAAACAGTATTATCTTTTAGGTGGCTAATCAAGGAACCACCGGCATTGGCACATAGATCAAATGTTCTTCAAATTTCTTGCCTAACTAGTGAGGGTCTTCAGCTTTTTATGGACTACGTATAACATGACTGATTTATATCTCTGAAAGAGGTGAAAGACTCTACTCGTTCATAATAATAGTGCTTACCGTCACGTGTAAGGACATGGGGTTCTCTTAACTGCTCACAAACGGTCAAGTGACCTTTGCGGCTTGTCACGTGCTTTGAGACCTTTTGCCAGCATCATGTAATCATAGAAATAATCACATGACTGCGGTCGCACGGTCGCGGATAGCAGTAGGTGCAGTCTTAGCCAGAATGTTCAATTCGTATGTTTGAATTAATTTCAGTCTTTTGTCTGTCGAGGAAATGAGCAAGGCGGATATGTAGACTAGGGATTTTTTACCGAAGCACAGTGTTCCTGATGCTGCCTGTAATTTCGACCACAACTTTTGCCTAAGGCATGACGGGCTTGAGAGGCGGTGAGTATTCTGCAAGATACGCGAACTATAGTAGTAGGCGGTGTAAGCGACCGCGAGAACAGGAGCCTTTCCTGATCGGGTCAACGTGTTCAAATGTGTGCCTGGTGAAAGGGGCATCAATGATTGGCATCCAGGCACTGTTGATGCTTATCATCTCACCATCCATGCCAGTATCACCAGACGTAAGAGCCATATGCATATCATGATCTACAGCTTGCTTACCTCTCGTGTGTTTAATTTCTTGTATAGAGATGCCCGACTAGGAACTCCAAAGCATTACTGCGACCAGCCTTGCCTTTTGCATACCACTCAGACCAACATTCACAACACTGAGCATTCACTGATGACAACATTCTTATCACGAGGTGCAATACTTGTTATAATTGAGCTGTTACCCCCTTTTATTCCTATCTAACACACCAAAATCATCATATAATCTCATCTTCTAAGCTGATAACCAACACCTTCTACCTCTCACCGCACAACTTCATCGGACCATGTATTGGACCAACGAAGCCAACGCCAAAGTAAGCGAGCAGACCCTACAAATACACAATCTTTGACAGACACAACTGACAAATGAAGCTCTTGGTTGGTGTATTGGAGCAGATGCGTGGGAAGCTCAAGCTTGATTACGAAAGACTTGCCACCCACATGGGCAGCGGTACCTTGAACCCTAGTATAAATCCATATTTACACCAAATCTAATCGAGACAGACTGCACCGCATGCGCGATCGAACAGCAGATAACAAAGCTCAAGCGTCAGGCGAACAACTCCAGTCCCACCAAGAGCACTGCCGGCAGCTCGGGTGACAAGTCGACCTCAACTACTACTCCGTTCAGTACCCCCATGAAGCGACAGCCTGATATCGCTTGCAATTTTCACAAGCGTCCGGCTAAGAAGACCAAGTTGGATGATAAGGATGCACCCGTCTCTCGTTCTAAATTGGTAACTGTGAAGCGGGATATCGAATCGGATGTCGTCTTTGTTAAGACAGAGACTAAGTCTATGGTCATGGAAAAAATCAAGGAGGAAAGATCGTGATTGATCCCAGGTCAATACCTCTCTGGTAGATATTGGGCGCTGGGTTAAGGGAGGGAAGATCAATGTGAAATATGCTTTCTTTGAAGAACAACACAAATAGCTGACGGACTAAACTCATACAATCAGTCTAATGTTTGAGTAGAATCACAACCCGCTGCTCGGAACGTCTCATGAGCCATCAATGATAATTCCTGTCCAACACCCTAGGTTCCTCGGTATGATTCTAGAGGAAATCGAAGGAATATACTCTATATCAATGTAGACTACTAAAGCTAGACGATAATAGTCCACCTGGGATGAGCATGTATGTTTGCTCTGTAGCTAAACCAAACAGTCAAAGTAGACATTGTATCAGTTACTCGGATCTGAGAATAATAAGAACAGTCCATCATCACCAATTCATTGTATACTACTTCCTGTAATTATAGCACAGTACCTTCAACCGCTACTTGTTGCTCGCTGGAAACATTTCCATCAAAAATGGTCAGCCACTATAGCAGATCAGTAGACAATATCCTCTCCGTTGACAGTCTCTATTTTTCGTTTGTTATCTCTATTCCCACTGCCCTTTGCTTGGACTCTTCGTTGCCTCGAGTATCTCTGTGTCCTGGGACAGTCTCTATCATAATCCTGCTCTTGTAATTATTAGCTGATTGCTAAATTCTACCAATTGTCATGGCTTAGAATAAGCATATGTTGTACCCTGCAGCCACTTCAGTACCGAAAAGCAGAGGTAGAATTACAACCGGAGATTATGGCGGAAAAGCTGCTGCGCCAGGCTGAACTGCATGTTGCCGAGCGTGGGGTCCGCCGAGTGTCTGTTACTGTGGTGCTCGTAGACCTGGGTTTTTAAGATCTAGCGTGTCTCTTTGTGTCTCTTTGAGGGTCCTCGTTATCTGCAAGGTGGCAGAGAGGCTGCGGAGTGTCAGTGTGTGCAGCGATTCTGTTAAACAAACATTGACGAGGCGAAACAAGTATCGCCCGTTCAGGTAGCAAGATAAGCTTGATCATGGCCTTCGATATCCATCAGCTTTGTAAATGGTATACTATGATATGGTCACTTTTAGGATATGATTCGACCAAATGACTTGTTCCACCTGCAAAAGTTGATGTCAATAATGATGGTTTCCCATCATAATTAGATGAGAACTAGGGTGTGTCATAGGATTGTTTGATGGCTAGCCCCCTTCGTAGCAGATCAGCCATATGCGCAGCGTGTCATGGAAAGGAAGCACAGTAGCAGGGTTGATAAATGCCGAGCGCAGAACAATCAAGGTAGTTCTGTTCCTGACTGTGTGCTGGCCGTGATGTTTGTAGAGACATTCCTCAACTGTTCTCCGTAGAGTCAAGGATTTCGAGGAAAGGATATACGGAGTATGAGTGTAGTATAATATTGAACTAATAATCTTTTGAGACAATTCATATTTTCTGGTCTTTTGGATCTAACGAAAGTTGCTTTGATGGCCGAGTACAATGAAAGGGAAAGCAGACGTGAACGGAGGAGAAGGGAGCTTTATCTAACTGCTAGACGTAGTGTGAATACGAGCAGACTAATTTGGAGAGTGAACAGTAAGGTTATAAGTACGTGAGATGAACGGAATAACTGTAGTGAAAGACCACTTGTCAATGAATATGTGACAATATCCTAGATAAATACCTTATCGAGAAGGATATCTGAATATGTAGGCGTATACATCAACTATAGCCATGAGACACTTCTACTTTGCAGGAATTTACTCGTCTAGCTCTATCCACAGACTACCGAAGAGTTCATCGCTCAAATCTTCTGCACCCGACGCGTCTCTCCATCAACAGCCCGCAACAGTACATACAGTGTCTCCAACACTGGCGTAGGAACCCCCAACTCTCGCCCCTTACGCACTGGTGTACCCACAATCACCTCAATTTCCATTGGCCGGTTATTCTCCCGGTCGATCTGCATACTCGTTCGGACTGCCCCCAGCCCTTGAATGCGTGCCAATTGAGTGTCAATCAGATCATCCGGGAGAGGGACACCCGCAGCACGAGCCACAGCCACAGCCTCGCTCATGAGTCGTCGCGTGAAGGGAATGGCATCAGCAGAGGATTGTAAGAATGCTTGCGTGTCCAAAGCGGTCAGGGTTGTCAAGGTGTTCCAGGCACAGTTCCAGATGACTTTGGACCAGCGGGTGGGTTGGATGTTGTCGTGCACCGTGTGACGAGTCTGACCTGCGGCGAGGAGGCCAGTGAAGGTGTTGAGACGCTCAGCCTCCACAGCATCTGGAACGTTGGGGTTCGGGTAAAGGCCGAGTTCGGTGTCTTCGGATGTGGTGTGGATGACGGTGCCTGGGGTGGGCTGGGATGCTCCGACCCATGTCTGGGCGGGGTTAGTGGGGTTGGCTGTTGAAGGCGTTGAGGATTGGGGAATAGACATACAACGCAGGAGATGATACTGCAGGATGGGTAGACCTCGCGGAATGGCTCTTCGTTTCCCACGCCGTTCTGGATAATCACGATTGTGGTGTCCTTGCCAATTGCCGGTGCTAGCGAATGGACGGCGCCGGCTGGGTCAATGGCCTTGTTGGTGCAGACAACATAGTCGACTGGGTGGGTGAGTTCTGAAGGCGAGCGGACCACTTTGTGATCGAGTTAGTTGGTGGTGCTGGTTGTGACTGCGTGAGGGAGCAGTTACCGTGGTCTGGATAGAATCGATGCTCGCCGTGGTTTGCACTTTTCAGAAGGATGCCCTGTTTGGCAGTGAGTCGGCCATAATTCGTTCAAGTTTGATTGGAATAACTCACATTCTCCTTGACGGCTGCGTAGTTGGACCGAGCGACCACAGTCAGACGAACCTTGTTACTACGATGCAGAATGAAGGCGTAGAAGGAGCCAATGCTGCGATTCAGTTAGATTCATCGCCGGGCAGAGAATTGGAGAAGACTGCATACGCTCCCAGCCCATAGAGAAGGACATCAACCTGGCTGGCCATGAGCAACAAATGATTGAAGATAAACTGAATTAGAGACTGGACTGACTGACAGGCAGGTAAGAGGAGTAATAGTAGTGACAGTAGTAGTAGTAGAGCCAAGCTATAACAAATGCGGGGGTGCTTCCCCGCTCGGAACAAGTCCGAACTCGTCGGGAAAGTTGAAAAGGCTGTTGAACCCAGTAAGATGCTGCATAAGTAGGGTAAAGGCAAAATTTCTCTTCAGATATATGTACATGAGGCAAAACTCCGAACCACCCCGGTCTATCCCGTTCGCCCAATTTTTGTGGTATAATAGTACATCCGTAATCATATCGCATCACTCATGATGATCAGGCCCAGGCTCAACTCTCGACTCTCCAATGGGCTGCATCTCGATCACTTCCGGCCCTTTCGCCGCGTCAGTTCCTCCATCTGGTGGTTTGTCGACCAGCCCAACCGCCTCTTCGTCGACTGCATACCGCCACCGCCCATCCGCCTGTAGGAACATCCGAAAACCATATCGCTTGTCCAGCCGAGTCAGATGCTCTCGCCGCTGCTCATTGGTCCAAGAATAGGTGTTGTGAAAGTCACCCAGCATGCGGCTGTGCGCAACCCAGGGAATGATCGCTCCAATGGATCGTGGCATCCGGGGCCCGCGAAACCGACCGCGTCGGGTGCCGAAGACGACTAACACGACCAGCGTGTCTAGCGCAATGATCACCAGCGCCATGGCCAGCGAGGGCACCGACGGAACCATGGTCCACGTATTGGAGATCTCCGTGGCATTACCAGCCGACACAACCTCATCCAAAGGCACCAGATACATGTTTCGCCAGATCGTGAAGTAGGTGCTCCACACCCACTGATACACAACCTGCGACTGTGTCATCAATTCCAAAGCGTTGAGCGGAACAATCTTCTCGTGCTGCCGGTAGAGACGGGCCACGAGAAACCCTGCCCAGTCATATGACGAAACATAAGACCGGTTCCGCCCCGGTTCCTCCCCCACGAAGCTCTGAGGGATGGCGGCAAAGACCTTGTTAAATTGGCCTAGAGCCATCGTCGCATTTTCATACATGGTTCCTGACGTGGTTTCCGTGCCAGGAATCGGGTCTATGTCGGATATCTGACCCCGACGGTCAAAGGTCACGGAGAAATTTTGAAGTTGCACATGTGGTTCACATTGGAGCGCAATGGTGTTGTCATCGGTGAAAGGTGACTCCGAGGTATAATTCCACCGTCCAACCACCAGCACCGTCGACATCTGACACAAATCGGTGTCCGTGTCCGCCACCGGGGAAAGAAAGTGGATGGAGAGGGCAATGGCGTCGCTGGGGCGCACTAGCGACGTCATATTAACCCTGCACTGCCGGCTGACATCACGGGACGGTCGATAGACAAAAAAGGTATCCTGGCCTTCTTCTCTCAAGTTCTGGGATGTCTCCAAGGTTTTGCAGTCCAGATCACTACCGATTCCGAGCGTGGTCGCCCCGTACATCAGGTCAGGGTCCGAGTCGGTATTCTTGATCGGAGCGAATGAATGGTTCGCAGACATCCATGGCAACAATGGTACACCGCTAGTGGCGCTGTTCTGAATCAAATCAAACTCCGTGAAGTCCGGAGCGAAGTCTGTCCGTAGAAAATGGGAGTTGCTGTAATTGACGTAAAGAGATGTTGACGGCAGATAGGACTCCGTCAGTCTCTGCGTGAACAAACCACCGGCAACAACAGTCAGCAGGATGTTGGCGATGCAGGCAAGTGAGACGAGGCTTAGAAGGGTATGCCGATTCCGGATGGCTTTTCGTAAGATCGACCAAGGATTCTGTGACGCATAATTCATAGACAGCGACGTTTGAGCGGCCACCATGCCGCGCTGAAGGTGGACCCACGGCTCTAGAATGCTGATGTTGCGAAGGATCGAGTTGCATAGAGCCGCCACGGAAGATGCGACAACAGATGGGAGAAAGGAAGTTATGGCCTGCAGTAAACTGGAACTGGACTGGGAGAGATGTTGAAAACTCCCGTCGTGGGCAAGTGTGGCTGCCGTCACTCCCATCACAGCGATGACGGCAGCGAGGAGAAGAAATTCGATGATGAAAATGGGTATCACCAAAAAATGCGGCATTGGGTCGACACGTGTCCGTAGTTGCTCACTGAGAGTGACCGGGGAACCTGCTCTAGTTAGCTTGGAGTCCACAGGGCTTGGAGTATATGGACTGACCGTCTGCCGTTATGATCTCTAGTCGGGGTCCCGTTGGTCCCTGTTGCCATCGAAGCCAACAGTTTCGCAAGACTTGACGTAATTGCCGTGTTGAGAATTGGTGGAATTCGGGCTGAGGATTAGCAAGGATGTTGTAAGGTGTGAAGACATCAGTCAACATGCTACACATAGCACCGATAGAGCTCGGGTCACTCTGCAGGATGTTGGGTCGGGTTCCGTAAAAGTAGAGGAGAGATATGGTGAGACAGATGGCGATTGCCAAGATCACCTCAGAAAACAACGAGGCGAACGACACAACTGCAATGGCAACTTGCGTGGACTCCCGTTGGGCCGGTGCATTAGTCGGATTCTGGTCGGGGTTAAAGAGCCGACTCATTGTAAGCACAAACGTCTCCGCTACACTTCGTTTGACCTTGCTCTCAAATTCGTCCGTCGTCATGACGGTCGATGCATCCAAAACCAGAAGCGGCTCGAGGTCGCCCAGGTCCTGGCTAATCACAGGCAGCTCTGTGACAGTAGTATCACCGGTGGTCTCATTCAATTCGATAAACAACATGTCGCCCGTATATGGTGCTCGCTGGGCCAGGAGATCCTGGAAAGCGTCGATATTGAGCTGGTCTGCTCCCAACTCCCGTTCGGTATCGCGGTATCCATAGATGTTTGTGATTGAGCTGTTAGCATGCATGGAGACCTTTGCCTCCGCCTGTCGATATTCAACCTTGCAGCCAAAGATGCCGGCAGATGAAGTGAACTCGGAGCCCAACTGACTGATGCTATTAGCTCCGGCCACGGTGGCATTTACCGAGATGACGACTCCATATAAATCATAGGGATCATCGCAGCCATGAGTGGTGAAAGCCTTTCTACGGCTGTATACAGGTTGCGACTGATTGTTCCACACGGGCTCCCAGTACCGAACCTGCAAGTAATCGGTTGTCGGAAAGAAAATATTGCTGTAGTGAAAGTCCAATGTGCATGTCTCGTTCGTCCCGGGGATATCCTGCAGCTGCACGTCCGTTACGTCCCACGAGAGAATGGGCGGATCGCTCGATGTGTCATTGATGGAGACAGATAGGTGATCATGTGCTACAATGTTGCGACACTCCATTTGAGACCAGTAAATGGTTTGATTGAGCGTCCAAACCGTACTTTCCCGCCGGTCTTCCATGCTGATTTCGACGGGTGCTACTGCGTAGCTGGAGGACTGAGAGCTGTGCAGGTTGTCACGAGCAGTAAGGACGGAGTCCAGAGCCAGGGTGTCATTGCTTTTCTGCGCCTTGATCCATACAGCCTGGGTATGTAGGTCCAGCAGCTGGGGCCAAGTCTTGATGTTCTCGTTGCTGACGACGGTGATTTCACGGAGTTCGAGAAGGGTGCTCTGCAGAGCCGGGAGGAGCACGCGGATGAGCAGGGTAGCGACAGACACGAGCAATACGACCCAATGGCCTCGTTTGGCTGAGGTGAGCGGCGTAAGAAAAGACTGGCCGAAGTTGTAGTTGATGAAGAGAACCGATGCCGGCGCACCCTCCGGGCGAGAAATTTGGAAGTATGGCTCGAGGCGAAGAACATCATAATCGATGAAGGTCCACAGGGTGACAAGAATGAGGGCAGCAATGATGGGAAGATAGTTGTAGGCGAACGACTGGGCGTCTGACACGGTATCGGTGTCTGGGAAGAAGTATAGACCTCCATACTGATCGCTATACCGGCGAAGTATCTCGAGCGTGATCAGCATCGCAAACATGATCGCAGCAATCCAACAGAGGTATGCGGGACGCAGGGCAACGGGCCGCCATCCTCCCGAAGTAGTGGGTTTTCCATTATGCAGGCTGGCGCGGATGAGGCCAAGATGCTCTAAAGGCATGAAACTGGGTCAGTCCTGCTGGAAGACGTGTAGATAGCCAGTAGAGGAGCATGCGATAGGCAGTATTAGACTTACGGGAGATATACAGCCGGACATCGGACAGACTCTTTTCCAGGCCTCCGAACATGCTTGAGGGGCATGCTCTTTTGGGGGCAAACGGCGGTGTCGGAGGCGGACCGGATGCTGTGTCATCGCCCAAGGGATGGCTCATGGAGGGAAGTCGACGGGGCCACAGAACGGGTTCATCTCTGGAGATGGGTGATGCGACAGACAAACGGAAAGGACATGGTGGAAGCTGCCAATAACCTTCCTAGCGACGTAACGAACGCGATGTAGGGGATTGAGAGGGGGAAAAGCGAAAGGAGAGAGAGGAAGAAGGGGGAGGAGGGGGAGGGAGAAGCAGGCGGAGTGAGGAAAGAGAGGAACGGCGAGAAGAGGCCGCGAGGATGACGATCGACGTTTGAATCTCGCCGGCAATTCTTGATTTGCGTAGTCGGTGGGGGTCACGGGCTGCGGCAGGGGGGGAGGGACTTAGTACTAAGTAATACTAAGTTGGCTGTTCACTGAACAAATGTTTGCCGTTTTGCCCGTTTAGGCTGGTGACTCCCCACCCATTGGCCCATCACAGACCGCACAGCAGCCGTCTCTCCCCCAATCAGAATCTGACAGGGTCTGAAATGTAGACTCCATTGGTTCGTCAGGGACTGCTGGGTGGGGCCAAAGTCTGGGCAAGGGCTCAGGCACTAAACCCAATCGGCTAGGCATCGACCACCGTCTGGGCCAATCTGGCGAATAGCGGGCCAGACAGGGCACCTCTTCGGGACTAGCGAGCGCAGGGTTCCCGATGTAGGGTCTTGGGGCTTTTGTTGAGAGTGGGCAGAAGTGGGCTGACCGCACCACGCTGGGAAACCCACAATGGAAGGGAAGAATTCGGCTTTGACTGTCTGGACTCAGGCCCAAATATCCACTTTCTGGTCCTGAGGATCCACTTGAACCCTTCGTGGAAATAGTCACGTGAGAAACACGGAAATGGTATCGAAAAAGACACAACGCATCATGTTTCTTGGTATGACTGTATCTTGTCTTTGTCAAGTCAGTATTGTCACATGGCTCTAAAGATGGACACTGTGATATCATAAAGCAACAACCAGATTATCGAAGGTGCCTCCACGATATTCGTCTCCTAGCACTGCGATATATATATATATATATATAGGTGCTAAGGACATTGGTAGTACTAGATCATCTTCAACTTCTCAGCGTTTCGAATTCTGTGAAAGTAGCAGTCATTCCCCAGGGCAACTTGATATTTATCCTAAATTAGGTCAGCTCCTACACCCTATATTGCCTCTACATGTCTTATCGCCACTGTAATAGCTCATAGTATTGTCAGTTGCACATGATAGAAACAATATACCCAGAAGATACAGAACCCCTCATCAAAGACAAAATTTGCCAATATGGGAACTACCGAGGACTCAAAGCAACAAGTGCTAGAAGATGACTGAAGTATAGTACTAAAATAGTCATACGTAATTTCTTTGTTCTATCCAGGCACTAAGAAGCCATTGTTGGGTGACGAGTAACAAACCCCGCCTTCTATAGAGAACCAACTTATATTATCCCATATAAAGGAGATATCCGTGAAACGAACCACATTATACATTGTTTGATAGGGGATAGTTATCAAGTGAGACACAATCCCTTGGTGTCCTCCGTAACTAAGACAGTTGGTGTTGAGCCTATATATGTACTCCTTAAAGAACAATCCCTGCTCTTCATCAAAAGCACTCGCATGCATCCTCACTAATCAGTTCATCTACACCTAACTGTTAAGTAACATCTCGCACAGGATATAGAGACGCTGCCACAAAATGTCATCAATCCATTTTCTATCGCTCGAAACTCGCCAGATCATCCTCGGTTACCTTGATATCGACTCTCTACCTTCTGCCATTTGCAGCTGTCGGCCATTCTATCTGGCTTACAAGGGGTATGAGGCACCTGTGTTGAAAACATGTCTGTATACTACCATCACGCCCGAGATACTACCATATGCCATACTCACCCTAGATACCGCCAAATCAGCGCACGGGGATGTGATTGAATACCACAAGCTGATTAGAAAGCGATTGGGGAATCCCACGGAGACGCTCCGCAAATGGAGTTGGGATCTATGTGAAATGAAGGAATTACTCTTCGTCCACAGACATCTCTCCTTTTTCATAGACGATTGCAGCAAGAAGGCTCTGGAAGAGTTCCACAACTCGTTCGGAGAGACAGAGGTTTGTGTTCCCTTATCGCGAAATGAATGGGCCCGCATAGCCCGATCCTTCTACGCTCACCTGGTTATACGGCAAGCATGCCTGAATTGCTTTGTTAGGCTGAATCACTATCAGTATTACAGTGGAAGCTGTACTTTCGAATCCCTGGAGACGTCTGTGGCTGAGAAGCTATTGTTAAACTGCATTGACCTGGAGCAGCTCTACATCGTGAGCGCTTATTTTGGTGACATCAAATGTAAGTTGCACGCTCCTAGCGGTATCGGCTTGGACTCTAAATGGTTGTTAGTTACTAAGGGCCCGATTCGAAGACTCTCCCGCGTTGGATACTATCTTCGATATTATAATGAGGGGGCCAGTCAGTGGTCAAAGAAACATGTGAGACATGCTACGGTATGCTCCCTTATTTCAATTCTTTGCTCTTACCTGGTCTGATTCACCTTCGGCTCTTCTAGGAGTGTCATCAAGCTTCCATGCTGTTACTGGCTCGCCGAGCACTCGATCCAAGTTACTTACACTTGTACCTACCAGTTACGGAGGGCGTACTCCCGATAACATGGAGACTCTGCAATACAAACATGGAGAAAGGAATTGCCGGTATTTTCCGTGAGCGCGGTCGCTCTCCAGTACCTAACCCCAATCTGGCACAGGCGTGCCTTTCTAGTTTAAGCGTTCGAACATGCCGTGCGGCGTTTAGGGAGGATCTCGGAACATATAAGTATGGGATAGTAATGTGGGATAAGGATAGGATGCTCAACTCGAGGCTCAAGGATATTTATCGGACAGATTGCAGCGTGCCTCTAATGTTCTATATATATGAGTCCATGATGGTGTCTTCTGCGGAGCAAAACAATAACGCTTCCTTGAATGAGACCGCAGAAATTTCGACGATACTACCGGAAAAGAAAAAGACAGAGAACAAGGCTACCGCGTTCTTCGATGGCTCCCCTCAACAACCGGGATGTCAAGCTGTCTCACGGGCAGTATCGCATGACCTCATGTCATGGTGCTCAGATGAATTGCGCGCAGTGAAAAAGGAAAAGGCAATGAGGAGTGATTTGTCAATTGGTGCTCATCATCCGGGAACAAGCTGGGGTAGCCCGCTTGGACCGGTGTCGAGTTGCCAGCCTTATTCTCGGGTTTGCCGGTGGGAGAACTGATATCATTTAGACCAGCAATCTGTCCTTACATTATTTCCTCATGTTTGTTACTTGTTCACTCAAAGTATTGTCTTTTATAATATACGCGGCCTTGCGTTCTCTTATGCATTGGTAATTTGGAATGTTGACCGTGTTTTTTGGACTTCTTATTACTTTAACCTGCGGAGCACCTGCAAAGTAGCACCACCGTGATTCAATATATCAGTAGCGGGTGGTATGGAAATGATGTTGATTTACCAATTCCCACACATAGCGTAGTATGTAGATGCTGACATTTGTTTAATACAGTAACAATAGTGAAACACTTCAAGGGGTAGCTGGTCAGGCCCAGAATAGGTAGGATTCAAACCTTCTACAACACATTATCAGGTTACTATGTCCGTTGAGGTCAGGGACCCACTTCACATGATATGAAGAGCCAGTGCAGCACCTGAGATGTGGCTTTTGCATGTGGCACAGCCATATTATGGACCCGGTCAGGATGCCATGAAAGAGCACAGACCCCAGGACAAGGAATCCAGTGGCTATGCTCAGCTGAAACATGTACGCTAAAATGAGCCAAGGTCTTGTCATACACTCCGGAACGACCATTGAAGTGTCTCGGCTACAGCAATGTCTTGTCGTTGGGCACTCGTCCGAACAGACTTGTCCACTACTCCACAGTGGATGGAGAATGCCCGGAGCCCCCGGAATTTCGGCGAATCTCGGCCACGCTCTGTCAACCCAGCTGCCGCTGATCATGGCCGAGTGGAGCCAACGGCGACTAGCATCAAATCTAGGATAGACGTACATATGTCAGGCTACTGTTCCGTGGTAAAGAACTCGCGACAAATGTCACCCCAGACGTCCAATTCATGTCTAAACACCATGTCCATGGATGTGCTGGTCATGCTACCGAGGAAAGACGCTATATCAAAACACCCTTGGCAGGGCTGACAGCAGCGCGACCGCCGTCAAATCACGATGCGCGATAAGCGCTACAACGCATGACCCATGACTTGGCTGACGCAACCCCGCATTATGCCTCTGTCCTTGATTTGTTGCTGATATAAACGCCGAGTCGAGCCTTTAGGCAGCATACAAATTATATGCGGGGTCAACAATGTGCCCGGGGTATGATAAGGCTCGTATGAAGGTGAAGTCGCATCCATCGTGACATTGCCGGGCTCGGCAGATATGCGTATTGGCGCTGTAGATTACTACCAACGGTTCCAAGGTTCAGGCACCGGACCATGTTCTGAAAAAGGGGGAAATGATAGATTAGAGTTTGAACACAACGCCGAATCTTGGATTCGAAGAAGCCCGTTGTTCCTATTGGTTGTCCGAACAATACGATCTTTTCATCCTCTGTTGTTCCAATGGTTGCATTCCAGGGCGGTGCGGTGATTGGGCGTTATGCTGAGTCAGAAGCCAGGGGCTTTCATTTTTCCCATGCAAGATCTGTTTTGCCTCTGGGACTTCCCGAGAGAACCGGAGAGATTTTTGAGTACCTGAACTTAGTAATGAGGTGAACGTGGAGATTTGATCCTCGATCGTTTGCTCAAATTTGGCAAGTGGCAATCCAGTAGCGCCGATGTATCTCCATTCCCGCCAAACGGAGCATTCATGCACCACTAATGTGCCAAGCGGACGTCGGTGGATCACAGTCGTCTCATGTCCTCCTACCTCTGGGCGGCGGCCCATCTATCACAGTCTATAGGGCTGCCATGGCCCTTATGCCTGCAATTGTGGGCCGACGAGCCATGGCGGCGTCCAGAGAATTGCGCTGTTCAAACTTTGGATCAAAATGCTGGCCGGCATTCCATACATCTGTCTTTGCCTCCGGCAGTTGGTGGGCCGTGAGCAGGATGAAAATATAAATATTCTTGCTTCCTGTCTTTTCCGGCTGTCGCAGGTTCTGAACTTCACCTTAAAAATTTGTAGTCCCCACTAACGCCAACATGTATGGGACTCTTGCCTATCTCTCTTTTTTCCTGACTTGCTCTCTTGCAAGAAGCGTCGGTGATGTACACCAACACGCTGCTCGAACGACCACACAGTATGCTCAGAAGCAGCCGCCGTTGGACACTCCTTGGACGGAGGATGTCGGGACAAATCCGTGGCCCGAATACCCCCGTCCACAGATGGCGAGGAGTCAGTGGCAGAATTTGAATGGTATCTGGCAGTATCAGAGTGCTTCCAGCCTGAATGACAGCCAATACCCGCCTTTCGGTCAAGATCTCGCTCAAGAGGTCCTGATCCCTTCGTGCCTCGAAAGTGGACTCTCTGGTAAATATATCATGCCTTTGAAAGCCGCAGCTGTGCTAATTCCAGACAGGCATTCAAGGAACAAACACGCTCTATTCTTGGTTCAGGACCAACTTCACAGTTCCGAATTCCTGGGGTGGAGAGAGCATTCTCCTCAACTTCGGAGCTGTAGACTATGAAGCTACCGTCTTTATCAACGGAAAGCAGGCGGGTTTCAACCGCGGTGGTTACTTTGAATTTACCGTCGACATTACCCAATATGTCGACACATCGGCGTCTAACGAAATGTTAGTATTGAGTAGCAATCGTACGTAAAATTTAGGCTGACCGCAACAGGCTTGTTTTCGTGCATGACCCGACCGATAGCGATGGCTATGTCATCCCTATCGGCAAGCAGCGATTAATCCCGTCGCATATCTTTTACACTCCCTGCAGTGGTATTTGGCAGAGCGTATGGATCGAAACTGCCCCGGCAAACTATGTGACGCAACTTGATCTTACCGCTGACATGCACGGCCAAGGTGTGTACATTCCCCATCTTTTGCCTGCTTGATTTTTGCCGTTAACAGAACAATGTAGTCAATGCTACCGTGCACAGTTTCACGGGCAATGGCACGACAGTGAACATCTCTGTGTTAGATGGCGACGACGTGGTCGGATCCGCCAGCGGCTTATCCGATCAGCCTCTTCTGTTCAATGTTTCCGATCCCAAGCTTTGGTCTCCGGACTCGCCCAATCTGTACAACGTGACAGTCACCATGGGACAAGACAAGATCTCGAGTTACACTGGCTTCCGCACAATCTCGAAGGGTACTGTGGATGGTATTGTCCGGCCTCTGTTGAACGGAAACTTCAGCTTCATCTTTGGTACACTTGATCAGGGATACTGGCCAGACGGACTCTACACTCCCCCGAACCGTGAAGCGATGGTCTATGACCTGAAGTTCCTCAAAGACATGGGCTTCAATATGGTCCGCAAGCATGTAAGTAAAGCAACCCCGCGATTCCGAGCAGGGCTAATTGGGTACCAGATCAAAGTTGAGCCAGCGCTCTGGTACCGTGCATGTGACGAAATGGGTCTCCTGGTTATTCAGGATATGCCATCTCTTCGGCCGCTGGAGACCACAGTTGATGCCAACGGCGTGTCTGTAACTATATTGCCCGACGCGGACCAGCAAAATGAATTCGGAAGGCAACTGGAGGTGCTGGTCAATCAGCTCAAGAGCTATCCTAGTATCTTTGCCTGGGTAAGTAACACTCGAATGAGTTGCGCCGTTCATGACTGACCTTTATGTCTGCATAGGTGATTTATAACGAAGGATGGGGCCAGATCACCAGCTACTATCCCGAGTTCAACCTAACGTCGATTGTGAAGCAACTTGATCCCACTAGACTGGTTGATGCGACATCTGGCTGGCATGACCACGGCGCCGGCGACTTTAGCGTAAGCCACACCCGCAGTGATCTCGAAACTCTAGATTAACTAATTCAGGATAACCACCACTATGCGAACCCCCAGTGCGGCACTCCGTTCTATTCTATCGACTCCAGCCCGTATGACTCGAACCGGATCGGCATCCAAGGAGAGTTTGGAGGACTTGGGAACAACGTTTCGATCGAGCAGTAAGTCGACACGACTCTAGATGCAGGAATGAGACTAATCAGCCACAGCCTTTGGAACAACCAAGAAGCGATCAACAGCATCAATGAGACATATGAGATTGATACAGACGTGGATGCTTGGAACTACCGCAGCCACCTTCTGCTGTCCGAGCTGCAGGATCAGGTCCGCCTGTACGCCTGCAGTGTTGGGGTATGGACTCAAACGGTTGATGTTGAGGGTGAAGTAAATGGATTGATGACATACGATCGGCGCGTAAAGCGGGTGAACGAGACTCAATGGAAGGATGATATCCAAGGTCTGTATGATGCGGCGTCCAAGAGGACCAATTCTTCGTCGACGAATTGATGATGTTTTTGTCTAAAAATAGCATGGTTGGGTATATCGTTTGATATCCATTTGCATACAAATAGAAGCGCTGTGATAGATTCAATCTGATGATTCTTACTTCGAGACTCGATGATGGGAAGGTGAAGTGGTGAGTAGGAGTTCGTATTTCTCGTGATCCCGTGATGTCGATCTATGAACGAGACGGTGTATGGTACCATGTACGGTAAGGCTAAAAGGTCACATCTACTCAACATAGCATGTCGCAGACTACGGAACCAGATCTACCACCTACCAGATCGGTAGGGAGGGAAAGACTCAAGTTGAGGACGACATAAACAGGTAAATCAGCTCATTTTTCATACTACATATCCACGCAATCACGGTGCTATGCTTAGCAGGCAACATGAAATAACTTCTAAGGCAGTGAAAGACCTCTTAATATTGCTGGAGAAACCAAGCTATGGTTAGGGGACCACTCGGCCAGCCTTGCAATCCTATCACACCAAAAGACGCAGCACACTCCCAACCAGGCCAACTTGCAGGCACATAACTGGTTGGATTCCAAGAACGAGTCAGACATGAACATGGAACATGCCTTCGGAGCGCTTTCCGACAAACGTGGTAAATGTGCCTCTGGCGAGCAACACGTGGTAGCAGCAAGATGCGATGGCATCGGAAATTTTCCCGAAAAGGGAGTTCGACGTCTGGCGAGGATATGGCTTGGCTGTCAAGTGGTGCAATCACGACTTCAATTCCTGCGCACACTAGCCAAGCATCGGGCATTTAGCCACAGGAGAACCGAGTGCCATTCGCTGGCAAATCCGATCTTGTGATATGCCAAGACTTGAATCCTACCCTCATGCGATGAGCTGGGATCGGATCTCACGGCATAATGAGACACCGAGGGTTCAGCATTGGACGCTTCAGGTCCGTGCCACGGAGGTTTCAATATTTAGTCATCGGACAGGTCATGTCCGAGTCATATTTGGTATAATCTTTGCTGATCTTAATTCTTTTTGTTGTGTCAGACGGTGCACGCGAACTAATTTCCGGGGCTTGAGCTATAGCTGTCGACCGTCCCCAGTCTTACGGATAGATGTAATGGGCTGTATTTTTACCAGAAGCTATGTAAGTAACCGGTAAAACGCATCCACAGCGCTTACCCTCAACACTGGTCCATGTAATAACAAACCAACACAGCATATGCTAAGTCCTTTTGTTAGTTTGACAGAGAATAGATGAAAAGTGGACACAGACCTGAGCGGTTCTAGCCACCGCTGTCAGCACCTACTTTCTTACCTGATGGGGTGGGTTTTGAAGAGATGTTGGATAGATAGTCTCTCTCTATCCTGACCATACATAGACTTACTGAGATGTTGCACCATGAGGCCTGTTCTGTGTTGTTGAACAGCGTGTACTTCAGCCTGAGATGTGGGTTGCACGAGGAGCCGCAGTAGGGTACACAGTATCTATCAAGAAAGAGGGAGTAGTGATGCTTCAACTCCTGCAGGAACTCCTAAATCAATGGAGCCGGGAGGGGCGTTGAGGTGGCACCAGTCCGGCTCATGACAATACCATACAGAATACTGGGCGACGCCAGTGTACATTACCGTCATGGGCACTAGTTGGCAGGTAAACTTCTGGGGTTCCCCGAGATGCGGGGAAGAATAGGAGATTCCCTGCTTCTCTGCCCGCATTTCCCCCTTCATCTCCAGCTTTCACCATCCATAGTATTTGCTATGGTTCCAGGGCGCCATGCATCGGTCGTTGGCGACAATGAAAAAGCTTCACCTTAGCCAGGTTGCCGCTTGGCCTGGCCTCCCTCTGCGCTGCTCGGGTCCTTGCGCCTCCTCCGACATCACCATCAACAAGCTTCTTCCATGTGGCTGACCCTTGGCGCATCTTAGTGACGCCCATTCTATTCAAGTGGGATTTGAGTGGTGATCCAAGTGGAGCTATCAGGGAGAGACCAAGCCGTGGCTTTTACTCGTCCGTTCAGCGTCTCATACTTTCTCGCGAATCCTTCCATTGATCCCTGCTGACACCCATCAACTCTCCCCCAGGGTTGGTCCTTGCAAATTAGCCCAACCTGCCGCTAAACCTTTCTGTCTTCCCACAGAGGGTTTCAAGCCGTGCGTGGACGGGGATCTTGATCCCTTTCATGCCTTAAGCTAGGTTCGTCGGATCATCACTGGACTTCGCCCTCCAATCATCGATTCGTTACTTCCGCCACGAGACACGCCGATGGGCTGGCTGGGGTGATGGGTGGCCCGACCACATACAACGGTACCTTCCTGACCGGTGGCACGATTGGTCCAATCCCCAACTCTACACGCAGCTCTGACCAGACAATTTTCCGCTCATGATGCGGGGTTCGCTCTTTACCCCCGGAGATGACTCGCGGCTGACGCATGTATGAGTCGGTAGTATATATTAAGCTACCACCACTCTTCCCAGCGTTGCGACTCTCTCTTTCCCCTTCTTTTCCCGGAGCAGCCAAGTCTCGTTGTTGATCAACAGCCGCAATCATGTTGATCGGCAACATCTACGTGATTGCGAGCGTCGCCGTCGTCGGCGGCGGCTTGTTTGGCTTTGATATCTCCTCCATGTCCGCTCAGCTGAGCGAAAATTCCTATCTGTGCTATTTTAACCAGGGCCCTAAGGGACCCCCTTTTACTGACGATGAGGACTGTTCCGGTCCCACATCCCTCAACCAAGGTGGCATCACGGCCGCCATGGCAGCTGGATCTTGGCTGGGTGCCTTGATTTCAGGCCCGCTTTCCGACCGCATTGGACGCAAGACATCCATCATGGTCGGCTGCATCGTTTGGTAGGTCAGGCTCTGAGGCCCGTGATGATGGTTGCTAATCCTACCGCAATATCTAGGCTGATCGGCTCCACTATTATGTGCGCTTCTCAGAACATTGGCATGCTGGTGGTTGGACGGGTCATCAACGGTCTCGCTGTGGGCATAGAATCAGCTCAGGTCCCCGTCTACATCAGTGAACTTTCGCCACCGTCCAAGCGTGGCCGGTTTGTAGGCATGCAGCAATGGGCCATTACATGGGGTATCCTCATCATGTTCTAGTGAGTGAACTCGTTAGGATCTATCGTGGGCCGAACTAATTGCGACAGTATCTCCTACGGCTGCTCCTTCATCGGGGGACAGAAGTCCTACAACTACAGCACTGCTTCTTGGCGGGTCCCTTGGGGTCTGCAGATGCTGCCGGCTGTTTTCCTTTTCCTTGGCATGCTGGTTCTGCCCGAGTCTCCTCGCTGGTTGGCGCGCAAGGATCGTTGGGAGGACTGCCACCGGGTCTTGGCTCTCGTCCACGCCAAGGGGGATCTCAGCCATCCTTTCGTTGCGCTAGAGCTGCAGGATATCCGGGATATGTGTGAGCTTGAACGTCAGTTCAAAGATGTCACTTACCTTGACCTGTTCAAGCCGCGGATGATCAATCGCACGATGATCGGTCTTTTCATGCAGATCTGGTCTCAGCTGACCGGCATGAATGTGATGAGTACGCATTCCTGTTCCCGTCCAGTCATCTTTTGGAATAGTGAACTAACGAGGGGTTTACTTTGACAGTGTACTACATCACCTACCTCTTCTCCATGGCTGGGTACACCGGTGACTCCACCCTCCTTGCCTCCTCCATTCAGTACATCATTAATGTGTTCATGACCCTTCCGGCACTGATCTGGATGGACAAATGGGGGCGTCGTATGCCATTGCTGGTTGGCGCAGCTCTGATGGCCATCTTGATGTATGCCAACGGTGCGATCATGGCGGTTCATGGTACTGTGGTGCCTGGGGGCATCAACGGTGTTGCGGCCGAGTCGATGCGTCTTCACGGCGCTCCGGCCAAAGGTTTGATTGCCTGCACATACCTCTTCGTTGCCTCGTATGCGCCTACCTGGGGTCCTGTATCCTGGACGTATCCCCCTGAGTTGTATCCGCTGCGGCTGCGTGGTAAGGGAGTGGCTTTGTCGACCTCAGGTAACTGGGCGTTTAACACTGCATTGGGACTGTTTACACCCACGGCCTTTGAGAACATTCGGTGGAAGACCTACATCATGTTTGGAGTGTTCAACACCGCCATGTTCTTGCACGTGTTGTTCCTTTTCCCGGAGACAGCAGGAAAGACGCTCGAAGAGACGGAAGCGATGTTCGAGGATCCCAACGGCATCAAGTACATTGGAACACCGGCCTGGAAGACCAAGATGAAGACCCGGCAGGTTGAGCAGTTGGAGCACGGTGAAGTGGATGTGGAATCAAAAATTGAAGCCCGCTACGCAGAGACCACGGAGACTGCTCCCAAGTCGCAGGAGGCGACAGCGTAATATGCAGCGGAAGTATATGCAAGTGAGACCGTGAGGTGTATGTAATGTGTGTTTTACTGGATGGATACCCTCGGAGTGATGGGATAAATTGATTGCAAGACCAGAGTAATGGATTGAGGCTACGGGAGCGAGAGGAATGGCAGCGTGAACGGGCATGCTAATAGAGGGGTGTAGTATCGTAGTAATATGCTGTATGCAAATGCCTATTTGACTTGATGCTTGTCAGAGACTATTAATTTTATCCAACACCACTACTGTGCATTCACCATCCTCAAAGAAACCTAAGAATAGGCCCCCAAGCAAGCATAATAGCACGTGACCATCCCTGGAATGTCCCCCCGACACTCAAATTCCACAACTCAGCCAATGTAACCTGATAATAACTACCAGATTAGTTAATGACCGACAAATAATTCCAGCAGGTATGTGGTGTATTCAATTACTCCTCAACTGAGACCACACAAAGTACTAATTTATAGTCCTACCCTAGTTGCTCCCTCCACAGCCTCCATCTATCTACCTTAGTACTCTTAGTGCCGCCCATGTTCACATCCTCATTGGGTGGGGCGCGAACGCGTCTACTAAAAGTACCACGACGCGTGCCCACAACATCATCACCAATCCGTCACCACCAACACTACTACTTATTAGTCCCACGGAGCTGGAGCCACAACCACACTATCTCTTCCAAATCCTATTCCACTAAAGGAGCATCCGCATCCACACCATCATCAAATATAACAAGA